TTGGTGTCACCTGGCTTGTCGGGGGTTCCAGAACGAGCGGGCATAATAAGCAAGAGACGGAGTCGGATGCCTACAGAACCAAAATGGACATGAAGGAAAGGAACTGAAAGCGGAAGAACGAAAGATGAGTGGAAAGCGTCATGGAATGCACGACATGATAGAGATGAGGGGGTAGTGATGAGGGTTTGTTACGCCACGATAGATATGAGGGACGGTAAAGACGCAGAGGGACTGCGATTCCTCGATGAATAAATCCAAGACAAGACAAGAACAAAGACTATAAATGAAAAAACAAGCTCACGAAGCAATTCACTTTGTTAATATCACTTTCTCCTCGCAGCTATGTGTTTTCTCCGTTCGCCGGTTTCCCTTTGCAGCAAAACCGACAGTTTAGTCAAGGCTTGTCCAAGCTCCTGCTACTAATAACGAAAAACTGCGACTCATTCGACTGAAACAATTGCTAGCATTGTTTAAAAAGCGCCATTGTGTTTGCCGCTTTGTGTTTCGTGCGTATCAAAAATCCCATGCTGTGGTTTCCCACATCTGCCCCGGTAGATGATGGGACATTCCGATTACTAAAAGATTTTCCGTATCTTAAATACGAAATATCGAAACATGCCGCTTGGACAATTCTTGAGCCCCTGCTTGTTCTGCGGTCAAACTAAAGAGTTTCAGGCTTCACGATAGTTACATGGTTCCTGGAGAATCTCGGCAGATTCAACCACCGCTCATGGATTCATTCCGCCATCCGCTGAGTCATCGAATCGGCTGGCTTCCGTAGCTCAGTTGGTTAGAGCGTCGTACTAATACTTCAATCTGAATATTCAGTGATGCGAAGGTCTCAGGTTCAAGCCCTGGCGGGAGCAATCCCAACGCCTCCCGATTCGTCTTTTTGCCATCTTTACGCCGTGCTAGGACTGTGGTGGTGGATAACTTTTAATGGGTGGGTTGGAATAGAGCTGATAGGGTACCAAAGTTGGTGGCGGATGTAGGGTAGCTTTGCGTAAAATGATATTCGTCAACAAATGCAGTTAAAACTGAATTTAGACAAGAGCTTATGTCCGAGTTACATTTTTCATGTGTTGATCATCAATTGCCAAGTCACATTGTAAACTAATTCGTTGAATCAATGGCTCATCTCTTCATGGTTCTGGCGTAACCGCGATGGCGGCTGCAAGTGTAAGACAAGCGAATCACAAGAACAGCTCTAGACTGTTCGGGTGCACGCAGATCGCATAGCGCTAATAGAAAACAGCAAACAAAAGCTCTTGGTAAGCGCCGTATCTTTAATATGGTGGTTGCACATCTGCAAGCGACTGCACAGTGAGTTGATCAATTATTGGCTGTTGATGATGCTACGCCGTTGTGAAGCGCGTAAGAGGCGGCTGATAACTGATAATATTGGTCATGCTAAACGCGTTAGTTTGGCTGCAAGGAGAGAAGCTCTACTCTTCACCGCAATAAGGTCCGAGAGTATGTAGGTTTCAGGACATGCACTACTAAGGAGTTTGACGAGAACAACGAGAAAGGTTATACAGTGTTGGTTATGTATTCACAAGCGCCAATAGAATACCTGCATGGAATTTCTAACTTTGACACATATGTAGTATACACAAAATTTACGTGCCACAAAGAGACATTGGATTTGTACTCGGACATGGTACACGACCAACACGATATTCCCATTCCTTTGATACTCAGATATCTTCCGTGCACGCACTCGCCAAGTGGAACGAGGGGGGGCAAGACATGTCTCTGATATTAAAACACGGCTAGTGTCAAGGAACGGGGCGGGTAGTCGACTTATAATCTAAGCTTAGTGCACTCTTGGGGTCTTGCTCCTGTCTCGTAAAGCCCTCCGATAGTATCTACTATTGTCTGTCAAGCTTTATTTATTAGTGTACAGACGGTCCTTAGGGCTCAGACGTCCGAAATTAAACAGAGATGACACTGATTTTAAGTGAAAAGTTGCTTTGTGCGTGTGGTGGTATTGCATGTACCTGCAGGATGACCCTCGCTTGTCAACTTGATTTGGTGGCTACGGTAGTAGTAGGTACTTGCATCCGTAGTAGTGTTTCGTTTCTCAATGGCTTCTGTCGATAATTACAAGGGTCCACGATGCAAATCTATCAAAGCTCATTCCAAAAAGCTACGCCACGTCTTGTTCTCCTAAGAGCTGCAGCTTACTAGAACATAATAATGGAGAAGAAAAACAAGCCACCGAATTACTCATAATAAAAAAGAACACGTACTTGCCGGTGAAAAAGATGAAGATTTCTAATTTAGTACTTTAACTACCTGCCTAGTAGATACCTACCATTTAGGCAGTAGAACAAGGGACCGAGGTCGGTTCGCCTGAGAAATAGGTAGAGCGCGTTACTTTTCACTCGGCACGTGTCGTGTTGGGGATCCTCATGATTCCTAAATGATGATCTGGACAGAACAGGACAGGGTTAAAGGCCGATGAACTGAAATGGGAAAAAACGGACAAGGAGGCCCGCGGCGATGAAACATTCAACGTGGGGAAAGAATACGAATCGAGTAGTCCCGACAAGGGGGCCTTGTGAAGCATGAAAGAAAAAGCTGCCGATACCGAACAAAGATGAGCTCAAGTTCAAACAAGGAGGAAATATTATGCTACACGGCTGTAACTCAGCAGCAGCTCAGCTTTGAACCAAAAAAGACGGGATGGCGGTAGCTCCGTTCCCTCCACTTGGAGGACCCTGTATCTAACTAGGTAGACTAGCTATTGCCAATAACTGTCTTGTGCAGCTGGAGATCCGTCTCTGCTAACGGCAAAGCTAGCGGTGACCCCGATGTTGTTGAACAGAGTAGTAGATATACGATGTTGTATCATATCAATCTGGGCAAAAAGCTGAGGACAGCGTCAAGGAACAAAGTAACAGATTGATGAGCCCCGGCCATGACGACAAAAAAGCAACCACAGACATGCTTTGCATGGACGTAGCCCACAGCGGGCGATCCGTGACAGGGTTCGAATTTGACATTGACATTGACAGGCCAAGGCCGTTGCGCAACTATCGTCGTTTCTCACTGGGATCAGTTAATTGCGACTGGCACTCATCCTTGACTTTGCTGACATGTTGACGATACTCGGTCCATTCTTTACCTACAACAAAAGATCCGTAAATAAGAGAAATGCCTTGTTGGTGGCTGTTGTCATCTCCGATGTCTCGCTAGAGTCGCTACCATCACAGTTGTTTCGTTTATGGGGTCAGTGTAATGCCTGTACTCTGTAAGCTAGGTAGTGACAATTCACGAATCCTATATCAACGTGTCACGCTCTCTTTGAACATGGTCTTCCAGATATAGCAACACGTTAAAGACAAGCTTAACCAACACCACCATCAACAACAAAGACGAGGCACAGCACACACAAAGACACCAAAACTCACTTGCAGAAAAAAGAACGCCGATCAGGCCGTTACAAAAACAGACAAGGGTTCACCTTTCCCATCACATCCGACGCTTCAATCCCCTGAAAGGCCTCGTGTGATTGGCGGCATCAGACGCCAAAACACCGCCTCGAAACTGTGCCCCCTGGTTTCTAACCCCTTGGAGTGCTGCCTCATGTCGGTCGCGGCGCCCGCAAACGTCTCTGATTGGAGATGATGAACCCATCGAGGACCCCTGTTGCTTGCATGTAAGCTCCAGGGGGCGTCTTTTTCTCTCTCTTGCCTTTCCTTCTGTAGCTCGGCCGGCTGGACAGCAGAGCAGTGAGAGTTGGTGAGCTGGCCATTCGCTACCCACTGAAAGGAGGTCTTTCCTAGGTCCTTACTGGACTGTCACGCGCTATCTTGGGCAGAAGCTACTGCGCGACCAAGTTAGTATCTTCAGGTGATATTTCGAGACACTATTGGCCACCGGTCCGTGAGAGGAGACATCGCCTCCAACTTTTTTTCAGTTCACTTTGACAACTCGAGGTTTAAAATTTGTATCGTATTCGAATGGGCTCCTTTTTTATTTTGTGTGCGCGTACTCGTCTCTTTGCCTTATCGTACCCTAATAAACACGTATCTCCCTGTTCGTATCTTGTAAGCGAATGTTTAATGGGGTTAACTTCGTCATCAATTAAGTCTCTGGTGAGTCAGTGCCCGCAAACATGGATTCAACAGCAGCCGAGCCCTTACCATGAAAGAAATCCATGTTCCCCAGGCATAAATGAGGTGATCAAAGTTAGCTCGATCTCGTACTGTGTTCAGGCACTGTCGATACCAGCCCAAAAGAAGCCCCCCTTGTCCGTTTTGGTGGTAACCAGGCTTCTTGATAGCGCGTTGACCATCAGCAAGTGAACGTGCCCATGTGTAGTAGCCCTGTCGTATTCTCATTCCATCCATCTAGCTGGATCCTTACATGTCGGGCGTTTCTCTCATATCATTATTGCTTTCCTAATATTGGGAGGCAAAGGGAGAGGAGGGTATGAGTCGATGTGGAAATGGGCGTGATACTGAGGCTTCAAAAGGCTGGCACGCATTTTCACTGGTCCAGATAGCCCTTAATCTTGCTGTGATGCACTGTATGTTGTCTGCCCATTCAGAAGCTCTGAATCAGAGAGCCTTTGAAACGAACGCTTAAGGCGGTGGGATGTGGGAAGAAGGTACCGGGCAGGCCTGGCTACAGTAAGCGTGTGTAGGAATGTACTGTATGTTTGCCGGTATAATCGGGCCACTGTACAGTATCAGGACCACTAAGTTTTGTGTCGACCGGTCAAGCATCGCCTCCGTTCCTTCCTGCCTACTAATGCTAATGTTAGCCTGGCTGCACTCAAGCCACTGCCCTGTCTGATTTTCCCCAGCACACCCGCCCGCCAAGCCGTTCCCACATTTCCTTTCCCACACCTGCTCCTGCTCGTTCGGTTCGTGCTTTCCATTTGACACTTGCTCTCGCGCCTTCTTCGTCCTCCACTCCTACCTTCCGTCCTCTCTTCTAGACTTAAACTCCACCACTTCCTTTTTTTCCTCCTTCCTCCCCTTCGCCCACTATTTTGCGCCCTTCCTTCTTTCATCTCTCTCCTCTTCCTCTTCCTCTCTTCCATCCTCCTCTCTTTCCTGCGTCGCCTCGGTTGCACCGCCTCGCCTCGCATCTGCAAAGCTCCTCTCGAGAATTATTCCCCCGCGTCCGCGTCTGCGAATCAATATTCAACTCTGCCCAACCAATAAGGCACTTACTTCATTTCGCCGCACGCATTCGCTCTCGCTCGCCCACCCGCTTGCCCGCTTTCGCACCACAAAAAAAAAGCCAACGCACGACAATCGGAAATTTGTGAAGGAACAAAGATCAAATCCCATTTGAGGTTCTGGAAGGCGCATCTACCGGTGATACCCTGCAAAACCATTTTAATCTCTGTATTATTCTTTCGTCGATTCTTGCCTTATCGCCTATTCCACCTTCGGTCTACGGATACCCATCAACACAGCTTAATCTCGACACTTCTTCCGTCATCGCCATCAAACCAAGACTGCAAAACAGACTTTCCACTCACAGAATAATCGAAAAAGACACAAAAATTTCAACCAAAAAAAATTCAAGAGGAGGCTACGATAGAAGGTAATACCTGGATCATTCACATCTGGATAGGCATCGTTTCAACGACGTTGTCTCACTGAAATTGTCTCAGAGAGACAAGCCAGCTGGAGCTCGCGCATTCAAGTCGTGTTGATCACTCGACTCGCCGCTTGAGCGTGAATTCATCAACCCATTCACGAAGTTCTGGTACACATTGTCACCTGACCACGGTCTGCTTTTGACCCTGCTCAACGACTTCTCGTCGATCGCACTCTGTATCGCCCTTCATTCATCGTTCACCTGTTTGCTCCATCGAATACTCTGGACTTTAATATTTGACAAGCTTCCAACTTGTCATTTGTCTCTCGACTTTTCACTCGGCACTCGAAACTTGCAGCTTCTTGGATTTGCGTATTTTGGTCTCTCCCGACGCAATATCTTCAATCGGCATACATTCTGTAACGATTACCAAACGGAATTCCCAACTCTGTCGATTTCATCGGTATACCCGTATAATTTGTTCGGCTTGATTTCAGCAAACCATATTTTCTAATTCAACCGACTACTTCCTTGCACGCAAGACCTAGTCGAACCACGTTCTCTGTCTTTTCTTCATCCATCAAATCTTTAGAACTACAATTCCCGTTTTGAGCAACAGACACAGGCGGTCTTGCTCAAAATGTCTTCCAACGCTTTCGCTCCCAACGGCCTCGCCATGCCCACTGGCGGCCTAGCTGCTCGACGTGGCAGCCAAAACCCCAAGCCTCTGGCGGTTGATGTCAACAGCCAACCTAAGGACAGGGACTCTGGTGTTCCCACCCCTCGCACCAGCCGCTCCCACCTTCTCGCTGGTCTTAGGACCGCCCCCAAGTCCGCTACTGCTGCCTCGTTCGGCCCTCAGTCTCCTACGACCGGTCCTCAGCAGCAGTACGCCCGGAACTCCATGGCTGGAAATGCCTATGGCATGGGCCAGGACAAGACTTACAACGCTCCTAAGACGGCTTATCCCCAGTACGGTTCTCAAAACAACTACAACCAGTCGGTAGGCCAGCAGTACACTGTTGATCAGATCCTGTCGCCTCCTGAGCTCTTGGAAGAGCAGGACCCAAGCTTGTACAACCAGCTTGTGGCCACCAATCTCTACCTGGCTCAGCAACAGCAGCGTCTTCAACAGCAGCTTTTGACCGTGCAGAATGCGGCTCAGCAGTTCCAGCAACTCAACCTCAACAACCCCCAGCTCATTCAACAGCAGCATGCTCTGTACGAGCAGCAACAGCAACTCCAAAACATGCAACAGCAGGTCCAGCTCCGGGCTGCTCTCAGCCAACAGCAAGCTCAACAGCAGCAGCAGCAGCAGCAGCAGCAGATCTACTACTTCAACCCCATGACCAACGAGTACTTCATCCCTACCCACCAGCAGCAACAGCAGGTTCAGGCCGCACAGCTTTACAACGAGCAGCCCTCCACCCCCGGCTTCAGCGGTTTCCAGCAACATCTCCAGCAACACCACCAGGGCACACCCTCGGTACAGGTTTCGCCTCCTGCTGAATCGCAGCCCTTCTCGTTCCGCAGCAACTCACCTCCCAAGCGCTACGAATCTCCTGTGGAGGTGATCCCTCTTCCTCCTCCCTCAGCCAATGCTTTCCGCCGTGGACACAAGAAGGCCTCTTCTCTTGCTCCCGTTAACAGCGCTATTGCTGCTGCCATGTCGTCCGACGCCGCTCCCAGGTCTGCTGGACCTAAGACCTCCACTTTCCCCATGACCCCTATGACTGGTGGATATGGACCTGGTCAAGCTCGTGCTGGAGAGCATCCTATTCGTCAACCTCGCGGTCCTCCTTCTCTTGACGAGCTCAAGCAGAAGCCCACCTCGAAGTACGAGGGAAGCAAGAACTTTTCTGCTCGCACTCGTCGTTCTGCTGTTTCCAACCTTGTCCGTGCCGGCCTAGAGCGCCGTAAGGGCACTGGCAGCTCTTGTGGCAGCATGAGCCCAGTTTCTGAGACTGCCGAGGAGTCATCGACTCCTATTACTGATAACGAGTCTGACTCTGGCCGCAGCGGATCTGGCAGCCTCGCCGGTGATCTGGAATGCCCTAGCTCACGCACATCTGCTAGTGGAAGCTGGGGTGCTATTGGCTCTGACCGTCCTAGCTCGCGCCAGAAGACACGCAAGAGCGTCGACAGCATCGAGAGTGTCAGCTCCAACGGCGAGAGTGAGAGCAACTCTTTTGCTGATGTGTTTAAGAACGGCGCTCTGCGAGCTGCCAAGGCACACGACTCGACCGACAACCAGCGCAAGGCACACAGGCGGGTTTTCACCAAGAGCACTCCTTCTGCTTAAAGGTGGTGCTTCGGCTTGAAACCCTTCTCACTGTCACGATTTACGCGCTCGGACTTTTCATTCTGTACACATGACTGCGCGGACTGGACTGCATTTTTGATGGTTGTCGTTTAGTCTTTTTCTGATCACTACGGGAGTCTTGTTACCATCTGCATGGGAGGTGGATGAAACACGTTTTTCTTTGTCTTTTGCGAACTTTTACTATTACAGAAGTTTATAATTCGCTTCACAGTCTCTCCTTTAGACTTTTCTACTTCGTCATGACATTAGGGGGAATCGCCCGGGGATAATCTTGTCTCAGCCTAGATGGACGAATGGGTTACTTGGGGGGTTGATGAGGAATCTTTATACCAATGAGGATGAGAAGCATCACCGGGGAACAACTCTGGCCTGAAAGCCTCTGTGAGGCAGTAAGCTAGCCCCTGATGTGGTTTACGGCCGGCGTTCCTGCGGGAATATTGTTTCGGCAAATTTGACATTTGCTTTCGTTGCATTCGTTATGGTATGTCTTACTGTCTTTCTGCTGCCGGTCGCAGATTCGTCGGACTGGCAAAAGGATAGACAGATTCATAGATAGTTTACAATGGCACTATCACAATTTGAAAGCCACAACAAGCTTGCTAAATGTTTATCTGGTGATCTCTTAATATTTATTTTATGTCTTCTAACCATGCCTGTAGCTGGGTTTTGAGGCCGACTACGTTCCACTTGGATTTGCTCTCGTCACGTACTTTCCCAATATTCCAGTCTCCATCTTAGTTCATCCATCATTTGTAGTCTGAACGTCATACGGCGATTATGTAGTTTCTTCCTTACTCATCGTCTGGCTTGCAGCTCAAATCCGCAAATTCTGACACAGCATTCTAACAAATCAATCTGGACGGCTTCCGTAGCTCAGTTGGTTAGAGCGTCGTACTAATACTTCAATCTGAATATTCAGTGATGCGAAGGTCTCAGGTTCAAGCCCTGGCGGGAGCAATCCCAATTGCCCTCCAGATTCTCTTTTTGCATCTTTTTTCTAGTATTATCATGGCCTCTTGTTTTGCTGTCTGGTTGTTGTGATTGTGCGGCCTCGGGGTATTAGAAAACATGACCGTTGGAGGTATAAGAGACCAAATTAATAGATCATTTATGCTCCTTAGATAGTTCTTAGACGACTTATTTTTATACCCTAAGACTTAGGAGGCTAAAGGTTCTACTATCCACTAGGTACGGGCTGGATTTTGTCAAGAAGTGGAGGAGTGATTTGTTGAAGAAGAGTTACATCTGTATAAATACTTCGTTATGTATACCCTGGGTTGTCTATCTTGAGTAGATGTTTTAACAAGCAGTTAACGGAGGATCTACTGTATCATGTCTATCGACTGGATTTCATGTTATAGCAGACTCTCACGAGATCTTCAAAGCTAGCCGCCTTGTTCTATCCTGTTAGGCAGTCAGTTGTCGATAGCATCCCCCAGAAAGCTGTACGTCCGCTGGTGGAATGGGTCTTCTTAACTCCGAGGATAATTGGTAAGCAGTTCATGCTATTGCAGATCTTACGCTCTGGTTGAACATACCTATATACTAAAGCGTACAAGTTCACTCATTTATCAACTCCTGGGCCAGCCGGAATTGGCCCAAAGGTACTATAACAAGACCTCATATAGGATGATCTCAACTCAAAGTACCTACCCACCAGTTCTTTGTACCTGTTCATCCCCACGTGGCTTGACATAGTTGCTGATGAAGTCATGTCCCAAACCCTGTGAGCAGATACAGACAATGCCGAAGTTGGCCTCAATGCATCACACGCAAGTATCCATGGTTCCATAAGACACCAATCCAATCAAACACTATTTGTAATTAGGGAAACTGTCGAAAAGCAGGCATGGGCAGCTGCAAACTGCAAGTGGCATATGTTTCCTTGCTAAATGTTTGATTGAAAGGTAAAGCCCTACCAATGACGCTACTCACATTAAATATGCAGAAGCTTAAGCTAGAAACAATCCAAAATAGGCATCAATTTTCGAGAAAACAGCTATTGAAATTAACTTCTGCAGCCAACTTCAAATACAGAACGCCATGATACAGCATTCTCGAATCAACAACTTTGGAATGCGCATAGGGATGCGTCATGCATTGAACCAAAGTCCCTTTATGACCTGGTCAGTTTATGCTTTTCTTTCGTTGTACTTCCCTCGATAGAGGCACGGGAATAACGACATGGTCTTATAATGGGCCGCAGAAAATGATTAGCAAAGTGTGGTTCTTATTTCTGACTGCTGGGAAACTTGAGCAAGCACTAGATACCTTTCATCTGATCCTATTTCCTCTTCCTGTCTAGTTCATGAATCCTTCCATGAGTATTATCCCCGTTGAACATCCACTATCAGCCCTACACAGAACCCATCTCTCGTCATGTCCCCTCCCTCTTGTCTCCCATCCAGTACATATGTCCGTGATCACCCGCTCACCGCACAAGATTCCTGATGAGTATGTACTCCTTC